ACTACAATATATGTCAAAGTATTTCCATTCCTACTCTACCCGTATGATAAAGTCTGCAGTACCTACGATGAAGCATCTCAGTCCTTTACCTTGAGACTGAGATGTGAGTGCACCTATACCATTGTTTTATGTTACGAGCTAACAAGTCCATTTAGAATAATATTCTGTCCAGGTACATACACAAATCCTTTACCTCGAGACTGAGATAACAATATTCTGTCCAGTTCCGTCTAACGTCTGCCTAAACGCTCTCATCGCTACAGGTTATGAGCCCTGACTCTACCATGGATAGCATGCTCCCCAGCACAAACTCTGTGCTCTTTAACATCCCCAAGTTGGCCGAAGACGGGTCCAATTGGATAACCTGTAAGGAGAGAATGTTAATGGTGTTGGGTGCTAGAGGTTTGATGTGCTATACCGATGGTCAAGCCGTAAAACTGATGTAGAGACTCATGCCTCTCATGGTATGATATGGCACTTTTCATTTTTCACTAAGGAGTTCATTGCATGAACTTGCAACACCACTCTGTGTGCTGTCCACAGCTATGCCTATATGAGGCGCAGCTTTCCCGTGCAACATGCGCCATGCATGCACCATTCCCGCACTTCGCGATGTATATGCGCGCGTGCTTTCCCACACTTGAGCGCCCTATAGCGCCAGCCATCCAGATGCATCCATCCACTGTCCACCAAGTTCTCTAGTGCATATATTTCCATTTCTCTTATTAGCATATTGTTCCACCTTTATTTTTATCATGGACTCTCACTCATATATATCTTTACATACCTTACTCGGTAGCGCTTCGGCTCCGCATGACAGCGCTTAGGCGTGCTATATAAGTGCCAGCAGTACATACTACTGTTCACTTTCAAACTGACTTCACCTCTCACTTTACCTACTACTTACTATGTACCTAGAAAGTCGCAGTAGAAAGCTATTCCTTTACATCTTGCACTCTCATATCTCTTATCTTGCATTATATTATCACTTAAGCTTATTCTCTCTCATTTCCGCATACCTGCGCGCACTTTCCCGCGCTTTCGTGCCTTGCACGCACCTGCGCGCTTTCTCATGCTTCGCTTTAGCGCATACTTCTAGATCTTTGCTGCACTTGCTTCCCCTTTAGGGTCGAATGCACTTGTCTTCTCAAGTATAGCAGACTAGGCAACGCGCGACCTACAACATTTACAGATACAGTCAGGAGCCTCGTTCACGCCTCGCAGTATTGTTGTTTCTACACTGATTCCATACACAATTGATGAGAAAATGAAAGCTGTCACAAAGCTGGATGGCTCAACACCTTCGCAGACCAAGATCGATGAGCACGACAAAAAGCTTGATGAGTTTTACCAAAAGGACTCACTCGTCAGGCAACAAATATTCAGCACTATCACTGATAGGCTGTTGTTGCACATCCAAAAGCTGGATCACGCATCTAGTATCTGGAACAAAATTTGCGTCATCCATGAAGGAAAGACAGAATTAGTACAGGTAGACCTATGAAGACACCGCGACGTCAAGGCACATTTCGCTGAGCTCTTGAGGCTGCACAAGTCCCTAGCCTGCATGGGATCCTCCATTGAAGATCGCAATTTTCACGCCATCCTTTTGGGATCATTGCCAGAGTCATATAGACCAATTCTGTCCTCCATTAATGCTGCTGCCAGGATAACCCAGACACCACTCACCTCGAATGAACTCATCACTGTAATCAGTGAGGAGTACGAACACTGTCAGTTGACAGACAAACGTGGATCCAAGAAGAGTGGGAATTCGGCTCTTGTAGCCAAGTCTCCTCCTGGAAGGGGTAAGAAGGGCAGAAGCACGAGCAAAGAGAACATGGACGTCACCTGTATCAATTGTGAGTGGAAAGGACACTATAAAACCGACTGCTGGAGACCTGGAGGAGGAAAAGAGGGTCAGGGACCAAACCAGAGAAGGAAAGGAGCACGGACACCGAAAGAAGGCGTGAACTCGGCCACTTCTGACCCCACTCCAGATAATTATGCCTTTGCAACGTCCAGCCTCAGCAGCATTACTGAACAGGTCAAGGTTCCAGTCGAGCATAGAGGCGCGATAGTGGACTCTGGGGCAATGTCGCACTTTTGCCTCAATAGGTCAAAGTTCATCAACTACAAACCAATAGACCCACAGAATGTCCATACAGTGGACGGCTCCACCCTGAGTGCTATAGGCAGAGGGGACGTGAAGCTGGAGTTGCCCAATGGCAAGGAGAAAATGTTAGTAACATTAAGAGACACACTATACGCACCTAGTATGGCGTTTACTCTAATCTCCACTAATCGCATCACCTCCGCTGGCCTCGCCGTCCACTTTGAAGACAGGATGTGCAAAATCCTGTCTCCATCGCCCACACACACAGTTATTGCAACCATTCCTCAAATCGAGGGCCTCTATAGCATTGCAGCTACTGTTCAGCACCCAGACCCTTCAGTCACTTCTACTGTAGAACCCTGTCATAGGACATGTACATTGGCCTGCAAAACCTGGACTACCGGACACCGGCCGGTCCATGTAAATCCAGGCTCGGCCGATGCTGTAGAACTCTAGCAGGCCGATGCCTCACATAAAAAAATATCAGAGGTGTAGGAAGGGGCCGGCCGGCCAGATTGATGTTAGCAGAATGGGCCAGCCCTGATGTGCAGTGTGTATAAGGGGGCCGGCTGACCAATGTCTGCCAAATGGTGCATTAGGCCTGCCTACCTCTGCATTATGTGAAAGGGGGCCGGCCGGCCAGGTTGATGTTAGCAGAATGGGCCAGCCCTGATGTGCAGTGTGTAGGAGGGGGCCGGCCGACATACCTCTCCCAAATGGTGCATTAGGCCTGCCTGCCTCTGCAATATGTGAAAGGGGGCCGGCTGGCTGCAAATTGAATTTCAGCTGAATGGGCCAGCCCTGATGTGCAGTGTGTAAGAGGGGGCCGGCCGACATACCTCTCCCAAATGGTGCATTCAGCCTACCTATCTCTGCAATATGTGAAAGGGGGACAGCCAGCTGCAGATTGAATTTCACCTTTGTGAGCCACATGGGCCAACCTGTATATGCAGTATGAAGAAGGGGGCTAGCTAGCATACTGCTTCCATGATGGCCTGCCTGCCTCTGAGGTAGGTAGAAAGTGCACTCAACCTCACTTCAAAGCTGCAGTTGATGTAGCATTTGAGTAAGCTGTCCAGAATAAATTGCAGCTTTCTGGTGCCATTTTGGTTTATCCGAGTTTGTGGCTGGCCACTTTATACAGAGTCTGCAACAGCAGGCTGGCCCATGTGACCAGCTATCCACCTCATACACACTGCACAGCCTGTCCAGCAGACTGGGGTATAATCATAGCCAGAATAGCTGGCCCAGCATATCAGGCTGCAATATAAGCAACACAACTATTGCAATGTTGGAAAAATCAAACTGTGGTTGATGTGGCATTCAAGTAAGCAGTCCAGAAAGATTCAAAGTGAGGAACATTGAGGCTTAAAAGTAGCCACAATCATGCACAAAACAAGTTTGGTGCATGTCACTGTCCAGCAAGCTGGAGTATAGGTGAAAGTCAGATTGGCCAGACTGGTATTACATACTGCACAGCTCATCTGGCCAGCTTGGGTATAGAAAACAGCCAGGCTGGCCGACCCAGTATTACAGGGTGCAACAACAGGCTGGCCCAGCCAGACTTGGCTAGGGTATTGGTGAAAGCCATGTGGGCCGGCCCGGTATTACACACTGCACAGCTTGTCCGGCCTGCTGGGGTATAGGACACAACCAGGCCGGCCAGCCTAGTATTACAGGATGCAACAACAGGCTGGCCCATGCTGGAATCTCACAACCAGTCTCCTTTGGTAGAGTAAGTCTGATTATCTACTGTTTAAGCCTCACTCATTTCAGATGCTCACCTTCTATATCTATAAGTGAGAGAAAGTGAATCGTTTCTGTTGCACAACAGAAACGATTCACTTTCTCTCACTTATAGAGATAGAAAACAACAGGCTGGTTGAGCCTATGTAGTTCACCTTCTATATCTATAAGTGAGAGAAAGTGGATCGTTTCTGTTGCTTGTAAATCATTTTCATGGCAATGATGTGCTAGCAACAGAAACGATCCACTTTCTCTCACTTATAGATATAGAAGGTAAGCATCTGAAATCAGTATCATGAAAATGATGTGCTCACTACAGAAACCATTCATTTTCTGTCACTCATAGACATAGAAGGTGTTGCACCCTATAATACTGGGCTGGCCAGCCTGGCTGTGTTCTATACCCAAGCTGGCCGGACAGGTTGTGCAGTATGTAATACTGGGCTGGCCAACTTGGCTTGTCACCTATACCACAGCCAAGTCTGATAAGATTAGCAAAGTCTGGCTGGGCCAGCCTGTTGTTACACCCTGTAACACTGGGTCGGCCGGCCTGGCTGTGTCCTATACCATAGCTGGCCTAACATATTGTACAGTATGTAATACTGGTCTGGCCAGCCTGGTTGCCACCTACACCCCAGCTTGCTGGACTGTGTTATGTACCAGACTTGTTTTGTGCATGGTCATGGCTACTTTTAAGCTGGACTGCTTACATGAATGCTACATCAACCACAGCTTGATCATGCCAACATTGCAATAGTTTTGTTGCTTATATTGCAGCCTGATGTGCTAAGCCAGCATTCCTCAGTCGGCCGGATAGTCTGTGCAGTCTGTATGAGGTGGACGGCCGGTCATATAGTGCCATATTCTATATGGGCCAGCCTGCTGTTGCAGCCTGCACCTCTGGGCCGGCTGGCTTAGCTGGCACTTATACCTGAGCCGGCCGGACGGGATGTGCAGTATGTATACAGTGGCCAGCCACCCATCCCACATCGGCCAGCCTGCTGTTGCAGCCTGTAATATAAGGCTGGCTGCACACCATCATAGGCTGGCCTACTATTACAATATTTGGGCGAGGACACCTAACCTCATCTGGTATGTTTAGAAGTCAAGTAATTACATTATGAAGCCATCTTTAATATCAACTTGTCATGCTCCATTTTCCTTGAAAACTCTTCATGCCCTCAGCTGCAAACTCAGCCCACATGGAAGCCTGCTTTTCAGCATATGCCCTATGCCCATTCTTGATGCTTTCATCTGCCCTTGCTCTCCACTCCGACTCCTGCTTCTGAAACCACCATACTGTCCAACACATTTCATGCTGTACCAACTTCAGCTCTTCACTCCAACGGTCATATCGTGCTTTTGCTTTCAACCAATTGACTCGATAAACTAGGAATGGGGAACATAAGCTCAGTACCTTCATAAAAATCAGATAAGATTAAAACTCACATTCATTCATCCACTCGCTCTTCTGGCTGTCCTCTGCACTGTTGATTCTCCAAAACCAAGCTAGCCTATCAGAACCCTGACCATGCCTATTTTCCTCAGTGACTTCTTTGCTTACTGTAAGGTCCTCAGCCTTTAGGGCTTGATAAGATGACATTGTATCAGAATCAGCCCCTAATCGTTGCATTGCTGCCCTTGATCTGCGATATTCTCGAGCATGTTTGTTGATGGCCAAGGTGATTTTTCGAAGTTCCTTTGTTGATCTAGTACCCTGATGATGGATTGATTTGTTGGAGTGTAATTTCTCTCGAAACACCACAGATCTGTCACCAAGAGCTTGACGAAGCTTTTCCAGGCAGTCATTTGCTTGACCCTTTCGAAGCTCCAGTTCTTCTTGACGTAATGGCATGACAACATCATTCATGATCGGATCAGATGTCCCCCATGATGGCATCCAAAGTTCAGCAACCTCTGCAGGTGAGTCAGCATCATCTCCGATGTCCAAAATACTGTCTTCCCCCAGCTCTTCAATTCCTGGAAAATTAGATCCATCAGCCTCCTCCAGGCACAGTTCAGAGTCATCTTGGTGCAATCCTGCTCCCCCTTCCAATTCCATCCCATTTGTCATAACCAATGCAGTCTCGTGGAACTTATTGATGCGAGACAAGAGTTTCTGCCTTTTTTCTTCCATCAGAGTTCTCTGAGAAGCAGTTGGATCCTCTGGCAGTTGTCTTATAGAAGAGCGTAGGCTATCTCTAATAACCCAATTTGAGTCAATCACACCTCAAATATTGAACACCTTACTGAGCATTTTCTATGTTGATACCCTCGATCAACCATGCAACAGCCCCAGTCCTACCATTGGTGGACACTTTGTTTTCAGTCAACCTTAGCCTTATTTCAGCCATAGTTGGAGCTTTTGATGATTCATAATCAGGTCCAATCAAAGTTGAATTTTACCGAACCTACCTTTATCCATTGTAAGCTGATAGATGTCGAGAAGCTCACCTTGGTGAAGAGCTGCTAGTTCAGCTTCCTTCTTCCATTTCTGGATATTGGCCCGATCAAGAGACTTCGTTAATTCTTCATACGGACCCTGAGTGTCTTTAATGCCCTGTATGGCTTGATGATACTTTTTAAGTAATAATTTGACTTTTGAAGTGTTCCATTAGTCAAAGTTGACATCTCGGAAATAAAGGGGACTTGCCAATTCTGACAAGCTTCTTCCAATTAGAATCCCTCATATGGTCGTCCAAGACTTCCTGTCTGTGAGAGAGAGTCATGGACCTTGCAGGTGGGGAAATCTTGTTAAACGGGGCCCAGAGGGTCTCCAAGATTTCCCCATCAATATGACCAGCTCCTGTAATAAAATTAAGGCTGAATCTGGGAAAGCACAGTAGCTTATGAGCGCTTAGATGAAACTTGCCGACCGCTGGCAATATTTTGATTGATTGAGGAAGAGACAGGTGATAGCTTTGATTCACCCGTTCATGGAAGTGGATACTCCATTGGCATGCAACATCATAGATTATGAGTGCACTGCCAATATCTTCTGATGGATATTTCAATGCGTTGCAGATGGAATAGTCCATGTTCATTTGCCTGACTACATAGTCAGCCCAATGTCGTAGTACAACAATGCAACCAACATACCTCTCTCCCTTTTGGAAGTCAACTACTGCATGGGGAACAAAACATCCATGCCTAGCACATGCAGTTGCCCCAACTCCTGTAGCTCTTAGGTTGCTTCTCTGGACATTGGCTGCATTCACAGCACGGTGATTGCTGCAAGATGATTTCTGAAATTATATTAGACATCATTTCTAATGAAACATGTCATGAAATATGACAACTCGCCTCTTTCTCTTCCACAGATTCTATTATGTGAGTTTCATAAGGTCCTTCTGTTACCATGTATCCCTTTCCGTCTGCTAGTGAAACATCATCTTCTGGAGTCTTCATCTTCATATGCTGAGCTGTAAAATTTCCATCGACAACATATCTTTGCATGACCAACCAACTGCCGACCACAAAAATTAGCTCAGTGGGCAGTTGTTGATGAACCAACTTACCTGTCATAGGTATCCTTCCAAGAAGAAGGTAAGTTGATGCCAGGCTGGGGACATGCTGGACAATAAAGAGCTAAATCCCCTGGACCAGGAGATCTGTCCGACTCATGTGCAAAGCCAAACCTTATTCTATTGACCAAATCCCTCCATATACGAGACACCCGCATAAGTTCACGGTAGCGATCCTTTTTATCATGTAAGCATGGGGTACAATGATGAAGAAATTGCTCACAGGTATTGTATGAGGGAAAGCATTGTTGGTAAAACGACGTAGCTTTTGATAGAAACTCATAGCTGAGGTCTTGCACTCCAAAGCGTCTATGAGGAAGTTATCTAGCACATCGAAGGTAAAAGCAGATTGAGGCCGAGTGATGCTGGCAGGAAATAACTTTGCTTTTAGCAGATGTAGATGTCTGTCCTTCTCAGCTCCAGGACACTGACACCAGGATACACAGTGTGAGTAAACTCCAGTGGAGTGCACAATGACCAGGTTAGACAATCCCAACTGTGTTTCATAAATAGTATCCCCCTCCACGTGTGCAAACACATCTTCCATGGCTCCAAGATCTGACCAGGGTGACAGGTTTGACTGCTGCAACGCATTGGGGCAAGGATGTCCCCCATGACCAAGATGCATTATATACCCATGGTCCCGTAGGGTAGTAGACTCATAGAACTTGCCATTCCAAAGCTGAAGGTTGTGGAAGGGGTTGTGCTGGTGGGCTTTGACAGCACATGAGGAACACCAGCTGTGCTCTCCTGAGCAGGACAGACAACGAATAAAGCCCTCCTCTCGTCCGCAATCCTCACATTTCTCATTGTTGATCAGCTGTTCCAACTCCAACAACACTGAAAGATATTCATTGCGCCAAGGCAAGTATTCCCTGAGGAAATCATTTTGGGTCTGTAATGTTGGCTAGTTTTCAAGAATAATTATTTCCACAGAACTCACTTTTGTCTTTCGTTGGATACTATTTAAGCCTCCTGTCCCAAAATCATCATATATCTCTCTGTCATAATTGACCAGTGAATGATCTTCAATATTCTGGTGGTGTTTTTGTTTCACCGGTGAGGTTGGCTCCACCTCACTGTCATAGTCTTCATAGACAGTATCCGCTTCTTTCCATGAAACATTTCCCCTCCGAGTTTTAGATGAGATGTATGTATATTTATAAGCACCTCTTTTTCTCTTTGTTGGCTGGGCATAATCAGAAGATGTTGCTACTCTGGCCCTATTTTTCCGTCTTGGTGTGATTTTTGAGGTCATTGAAATTATGGGTTTGTTCAAAGGTAACAGAGGTCAGAGCACCACATGAATTTTGGCACAGCTACATAATGATTCCACCAAAAAAATAATTATGGGAATTTCCCAATACTATCTCCTACTCCTTATTCTCTTCCGACTCTTCCCTCCTACTAACTCTAAAAAGAAACTCTGCATCGGAAATGATGGCCTTGGCACCCCAACTCTGTCATGCACAGCATCCTTCATGAAATGGGCAATTACAACCCGTTCTCCATTAAGCCAGGGACCAACAGAATGTTCTAGCACCCGCCCTGCAATATAGACCATTGCTCCAGGGGAATAATCTACTTCTGCATGGAGGTCTGCCAAGGCCAAAGTGGCATGATGATTTCTTCCTAGACTGACCAGGAGATCAAAAAGGGATGGGGATCCACCAGCATCTCTGTGGCTAAAGATAACACGGTTAGCAATAATTTCAAGCCCTGAAAAGATTGAGGGCCAAGAGTCCACTGGAGCAGGGTTCTTTGGGTTCTTTTTTGATCCATGATGGACTTCTTTGATGGCCTGAGAAAATGCAGAGTTGCCAGCTTGAAAAAGATCCGGAGCCACAACTCCGGTAATGGCATTCCATAGAACTTCTGATGTTGTCAAGGCAGCTAACCATTGTTGGACCTTCTCTGATTTGTAAGACTCTGAGGTCACCAATGGATCCACTCGTCGCTAAGAATAGAGTTAAGCCTAGACCCAATATATATAACAAGTGAAAATACAATACCTCCCGTCTTTGCATGAAATATGCAGGAGCTACTGTAATTCTACCAGCCCCAAATTCCCCTCCTTCAGCTGGAACCATATATTCATCATCTCTCCAACATTTGTTGACATCTTTAGGATCAACAGTTTTGAGAAGGGATTCTCTCAAGCCACCAGTGATGTGATTGAGATGCTCCTAATTAATTAATCAGCCCTGAAGGAAAATCCCCAACCAGAAACATACTATGCGAGAAGCTGTCAAAATATCAGGGAGATGAACTACCAAAATTTTTCCGTGCCTGTCCACAATGGTTGCTGGAACTGAAATTTTGCCGAGCACAGCCTCAGGGAAGAACTTCTTCAGTCTCTCCGGTTCAGCAGTTGCTGACCCATCCCTGTTGGGTTGTGACAAATTGACCTTGTCAGCATATCGGTCTACATCCCAATTGACATTGACTGTAATTCTCCATTAAATTTCATGTACAACCCTAAATATTAACCTACTCACTAGGGTTGACCATGGCATGTGCAATGGTCAGGGCGGCCCAGTCAATTTCATATTCGGAAATTGAGGTATAATCAAAGTTCAAGGTATCACCGGGTGATGCCAAGCATTGCTGTAGCTGTACTGCTATTCTCATCCTTGATTCCCTCGGTCATTAATAGCTGGCTGCAATGAATACAGAACCACAGTTACCTAGCTTTATGCAGCAATTCTGTTTGAACTTGGCCATCTTTTAGGACCCCTAGTTCAGATGAATTGCCCATTATCTCTCTGGTCCTCCTGTCAAGACTTGCCAAAACCTCAGTTGTCTGCCTTTTGACTTGGTTCATGAGTGAAAAAAAGTGAACCAAAGTTCTCGCGCTCCGGACTCATGTTGACTGAACTTAGTTGTGATGTAATTAGAACACATTATGTAATAGCCTAATACACCCTAATTAAATTTTAAATTGGACCACATATAGCTAGTCTCCTCTAGTAGAGTAAGTGTGAGGCTCGAACAATAGACAATCAAACTTGCTCTACTAGAGGAGACAGTAGACAATTAAACTTACTTTAATTGTGGTGTTGTGAGCGAGGCTGACTCGATTAACTAGGCTGGCTCTACTTCACTAAGAACACCATGGGGGCAGCCACCCTGTGCCATGAAAATGAAACGATTCACTTTCTTTCACTTATAGATATATCATTGACCTCAACAGTCATGAAAATGATGTGCTCGCAACAGAAACAATTCACTTTCTTTAACTCATAGATATAGAAGGTGAACTACATAGGCTCAACCAGCCTGTTTTTTTCTATATCTATAAGAGAGAGAAAGTGGATCAGTTTCTGTTGCTTGTATATCATTGCCATGAAAATGATGTGCTCGCAACAGAAACAATTCACTTTCTTTCACTCATAGATATAGAAGGTGGTGAACTACATAGGCTGGACCAGCCTGTTGTTTTCTATAAGCAAGAGAAAGTGGATCGTTTCTGTTGTGAGTACATGGCAATGATGTACTCGCAACAGAAACGATTCACTTTCTTTCACTCATAGATATAGAAGGTGGTGAACTACATAGGCTGGACCAGCCTATTGTTTTCTATATCTATAAGTGAGAGAAAGTGGATCATTTCTGTTGTGAGTACATGGCAATGATGTACTCGCAACAGAAACGATTCACTTTCTTTCGCTATTAGATATAGAAGGTGAGCATCTGAAATGAGTGAGGCTCAAACAATATATAATCAAACTTACTCTACTGGAGAAGACTGGTTGTTAGACTGTGGTGTTCTCAGTGAGGCTGATGTGATCAGCTAGGCTGGCTCAACCTCACTGATGACACCATGGGCGCAGCTGCCCTGTCCCTTCACAAAAATGATGTGCTCGCAACAAACAGATTGTATTCTTTCCAAACTTACTTTAATTGAGGTGCAGTCAGTGAGGCGCATGTCACCTTGCATTACTCTCACGATCACGTGACTTAATTTTTGGGCAAAAAGTTATGAGTCACATGTCCAGAATATGCCCATACAAGGGTGATACATTTAGTCTATGTTCTACACCAAGCAAAGTACAAGTTGGAGTCGAAAAAACTAAGATAGAAAAAACTAAGGTAAATGATGCAAGACAGGGATGGAGGGGCCCTCTCCATCCTAGCCTTGCACCCTACAGTAAATGAAGCAAAGTAAAAAAGTAAACTAATAATGAGCCAACTGTAATGATAGTTAGTATGATGTTGAATATTAAAGTGACGCTTACCGAATTAAACATGTCAAAAAAAAATGGGAGGCGCATCAAGTGCAGACCAAAAACTATGGCAAAGATCAGTATCATCTTGAATCTTGAAAAGACACTTACCTCATCAAAACCGCTACCAGACAATGTGTGAGATAAAGCTGGAAAAAACACTGTTAGCACAAATCAGACTTGAAAACAAAACAAAAAACAAGCCGGAAAATTCAGTGGATCTGATAAAGCTAGAGAGCAGGTTAGTAAATTAGATTTTAACAGGAGAGACAGATATATGAAGGCGCCAGTCCCTGGGGACATGGATGGCCAAAAAATTATCCCCCAGAGCCCAAAGTGAGAGGCGCCAGTCCCTGGGGACATGGATGGCCAAAAAATATCCCCCAGAGCCCAAAGTTAGAGGCGCCAGTCCCTGGGGACATGGATGGCCAAAAAATTATCCCCCAGAGCCCAAAGTGAGAGGCGCCAGTCCCTGGGGACATGGATGGCCAAGAATATATCTAAAAAAAACTAAAGAAAAGTGAGCCGCTGGCAGAATGAGAAGACTCACCTTTAAGGCGCGCGCCAGTTATTAACAAGAACTGTAAATAAATATGAAAAAAATCAGTATTGTCAAGCGGATGTACAAAGAACTTACTTGTTATTATGGGCTTGATGACTGCAGCGCTGCCTTTGACTACTTGCAGCTGCAGTCTGCAAGTAGTCAAAGGTCAGATGCAAGGAAGGTATGGTAGAGTAAAGGAGGATGAGTAGTGTTGCAATACATGGTTAAAGGTTGAAAGAAACGAACCGTGGGAGAAATGGAAATGGTTGATGTACCATTTGTTGATTTGTTCTTGTTTGCCGGAATATCACGTGCACAATTGTGGTTGGTTTTTGCGCACAATTGTCTTTTGTGGACGTGTCTCTATTGTCAACGCGTCTCCTTCGTCACTTGTAAGTTTTATTTCTTTTGTTTGTGACTATGTAACATACTGACTACTATTTCAGGCCAACTGTTTGCTCAACGCGCGTGTTTTGTGGACGTGTCTCTATTGTCAACGTGTCTTCGTCACTTGTAAGTTTTATTTCTTTTGTTTGTGACTATGTGACATACTGACTACTATTTCAGGCCAACGTTTGCTCAACGCGCGTGTTTTGTGGACGCGTCTCTATTGTCAACGTGTCTTCGTCACTTGTAAGTTTTATTTCTTTTGTTTGTGACTATGTGACCATACTGACTACTATTTCAGCCAACGTTTGCTCAACGCACGTGTTTTGTGGACGCGTGTTTATTGTAAACGTGTCTCTTTTGCTACTGGTGAGTTTTTGTTGTTATTCTGTGGCGCAGTGGCAAATTAACTACAATTTTAGTTCAATCTTTCGTCAACACACGTTTTGTGGACGCGCGTCTCTTGTCAACGCGTCTCTTTCGTTTCTGGTGAGTTTTTGTTCTTTTTCTGTGGCGCTGTCGCATACTAACTACAAATTTAGTTCTATCTTTCGTCAACACGCGTTTTGTGGACACGTGTCTCTTGTCAACGTGTCTCTTTCATTTCTGGTGAGTTTTTGTTCTTTTTCTGTGGCGCTGTCGCATACTAACTACAAATTTAGTTCTATCTTTCGTCAACACGTGTTTTGTGGATGTGCGTCTCTTGTCAACGCGTCTCTTTCGTTACTAGTGAGTTTTTATTGTTGTTGTGTGACGCTGTGGCATACTGACTACAATTTTAGGTTCTCTATCATGGCGCGCACCAAAAACACTGCAAAGAAGTGCACTGGTGGCTCAGCGCCACGTGTACACCTTAACATACTCAAGACCGCCGCCAAGAGCCTTTCTAGAGAGCCGGCTGGGGGCCAAAGTTTGGAGATGTCCAAACCGGTTCATCACAATGAGGTAAGTCTTTTGTTTCTTGCTGTATGTGTGCTAATGTACCTTCTTCTCCCAACAGTTCTGTATCCTCTGCCGGGATGGCTCTGCATCATTTAAAGAGAATACACTCTTTATGTGCAACCACTGCCCCAGAGTGATGTGCCGCCTGTGTATGCGCCTCCCTCCGGGCACTGAAGACACGATCCTCAATGAGGACGTGTCTTTTAAGTGCATATGTTGTCACATCGCCCTGGAACAGCAGGGCGCACCGTACTATGTAAGTGTTTTGTTTTCATCATTTGTTCATTCACAACTAATACTATGACAGGGCTTCTATCACGCTAATGGTGTCCCGGTCCTCAAGTCTTTTCTACAGGTCCACGCTTCCCTCGAGCTCTCATCGTGTGCTGAACTTTCAGCGGCACCGGTGATATTCATTCACCTCATCCTTGTTGACTTCAACACTACGGCCAGCCCTTTCTCCTTGGCTCATTCGTTCCTTCAACCCTACTTCACCAGCGGCGGCATCGAATATCGCGAGATCGCCTACAACATTGTCTCTGACGCGTCCGGTTACCGCAAAACCGTCCGTCAAATCATCAAGGACCTCAAAAACTCGTTCGCATGGGAACGTGTGGTGGTTGGTATATCCACTCACACTGACAATGATTCAGGTGATCCTTTTGCCGGGTACAGTTTGGATGGCGAGAAGCACTATGCTGGCGCCCCAACTGAAGATGTAAGTTTTTTGTTAAATTTTTCTGCCACTGATTACTAACTAGAGACTTGAAGTTCTTGGAGGGTATCCTTAGTCCATGGCAATCTCTCCTGGACCATGCTGACGAAACCTACCTGTGGCTCTTGTGCTGCAGCGCAATTGTCAACAACAGTGACTCATTTGCAGGATTGCAACGCGCAGTAGTTCAGTAAGTTCATTTAAATTGCATTTTTTATCTTATCTGACATTCCAACAGTCACAAGTTCTCTGCCACAGTCGCATTCAATGCCGCACATTTTCAACCATCTTTTGCGTCCCATTTGCTCCTGGCATTCACTGAACAAGTCCTTGTGGAACGTTGCCCCATTGGCCTCGCATTTGGTGACATGCTGGCGCAAGCTTACAAACTTGGTCGCCACACTGACGTCTTCTTACTGACACCACTTGTGGGTAGTCTGAAGGTCTCCAAGTTTGTATGGGCTGATGTCAAGTCCCGGCCTTGGGGTGGCTTCCTGCCAATCCAATGCCCAAGCTGTGGGTGGACTGATTGTTGGAGGTCAGTCTTTGTGAGGGCTTGCAAGGATAAGGTCTATGTCTTTGAGTGCAAGAATGACACCTGCACCCAGTCTTTCACCTTCAGCCCTCCTGAAGGGGCCATCATGTTGACATCAGGTAGGAAGCAAGGGTGTTCATGGATGCATGTACCTTTGAAGCCATTGTTGACTTGATTATGTACATTTCTTTCTTTGGTTACTCAAATTTGGTCACTTCATATATGTCTTAGCTTTAGACAATAATGTTTGGTTGTTTGTGAATGAAACTTTGGTAGATGCACTTTGTGGATTTTGAATATAGTGAAAATTGTCAACATAAATGTCACATGACCGTGTTTGTCACATGACCTTGTTTGTAATGTTGAGTTTTTCAACAATGAAGTCTGGTCCAACAGTACATCTGCAAACTTGTACCGGCCTGCATCCCTGTGATTCTTATTTGTCAGATATAATGGCCAGCTGGACTCTTGTTTTTAGCAATGTGTTGAATGAACACAAAGATTCCTTTGTAGCAGCTAAAGGAAATTCTGGCATCAGGGCTCGCATCCTCAAGACAATCAAAGATGCTATAGGCAGCAGTGAAGCAGCCAAAGACCCTTGTGTCATGCTTCCTGAGAAAAATCTGCGCAAGGTGAGCTTTTATAATTGTGTTCTATACTAATCTAATCAATACAGGCTGTTCGTGCCTATTATTTGGACTTCCTGGAAGATGATGAGGATCGCAAGGCAGAGGAAGAGATTATTGAGGGAGGAACTAAGGACACATCTGCTCCAGATGCTGTTACTGTAGAGATGGTGAGATAGAGGGAAGATGATAAGCCTGAGGATGCTGGGAAGTACAAGACAGAATTCTCTGGTTTTGATGTCATCCAAAAATTATTTAAGGATGAATTTGCAGAATATGACAAGCAGCACAGAGATACCTCCAACCCAAAGTCTATGGGTCAGAGGACAAGATTGGCCCGCATGTGGCACCAGGCCATGTCCCCTGAGGTGAAGAAGGAGCTTGAGCGAGTTGCAGGAAAATGGAACCAGGAAGGACCTCCTGCAGATACCAAGGACAGGTATTTTTTTCCCAAGATTCTATTGGCATACATGCTATATAACTCAACAATACATCAATAGATACCGTACCCATAACCAGAAAAAAATGATGGAGGACTTTATGGACATGGTCCGGAGAACCATGGGATTGCATGTCGTCATCCTTACAGCCCATGACCGAGGTGAGGGAAAAGCTCCTGGAACTACTGTGTAAGTGTTTTTGATGCTTCATATTGTTAATCATGACTAACTTGTTTCTAAAGCTGGGAGACTTCGCCACAAAAGGCCAAAAAACCTTTTACTCAGGCGACCAAAGACAATCGGAAATGGGCAGAACATGCTCAAGATCGTCTTGCCAACTGGCTTCTCGAAGGAGAATATGGTAAATGTCTCTTTTAATTTTTTAATTTAATATGGTAGCTAAAAGTCTGTCAGCCGATGGAGAGGTTAGTGATGGAGAGGATGACGATGAAAATAATCTCCCAGATCTCACTGTTGAGGTCGATGATGATGGTTATCCTTGCCTACCCACAGGCTTTGTATGTCTCAAGCTGAAGCACAGACAACAGCTTGTTCGGGCTGTCTTTCAAAAGGCCTACGGTGAGTTGATTTGTCTTATGTGATTGTATCATTTACTCACTTTTCCCAGCTGTTATTACCAACAATCCTAGGGCTCTGGTGCCCTGGGGTGAGATGTCGACCGATCCCACTCACTACCTTGATTCAGGATGCATTCCTGAGAATGTTGTCATCAGGGATCCTTCCCACCTGCAAAAGGACACGATCACTGCAATCTACTCCCACTGGAAAGACCGTGCTAGTCATGACATGCCGATTGTACGTTTTGTTGGATATAGGCAAGCTGATTTCTATGATGCTCACACTAAGAAAGGAGCTGCAAAGGGCAAGTCAAGGACGAAGCCTGCCTATGTTGAAGTCTCTTCAGATGAGGAAGGACTCTTGAACAAGGTCACCAATGGTAAAAGCTCTTCAGATGAAGATGATGTCGAGGTGGAGACTCCGACCATTCCTGAGTCCAGCCCAAAATACCATCTTGCTAGGGACATGGTCCCTTACCTCAAGTCTCTCTCTACTGTCCCTTCATATCATCGTCTTCTTACTGCGGTTCAGAAGCTTCCGGTATGTCAGATCTCTTAACCTCATGATTTTACATTGATTTTGTCTTTTTTAAAGCAAAGAACAGATTCAAAGTCAAGGAAACAGCATCTTCCTGTCTGGGCTTCTTGGACATGGTCTCAGGCATATCTGCCTCAAGACATCCATGAGGATATGAAAATTGCCTCAGTCGCCCTGGAGCATTTGAGTAACTACCAGTTCGATTCTCGTGGATGGGGCATGGTTGTGGCCCTGGGACTTGGACTCCTACTTCGTGAGTGTCGTCGTGCTCAGGAGTATGAAGCCGACGAAGCTGGAGATGATGTACCTAACTACTTGGGTAACTCGATCTTGGGCATCCAGATGGGCGACCAGATTGAGGAAAAGGTTGTAGAGATAGGGGCAGCAGTAGAAGCCATGCTGAAAGATGAGAGCCTGGGGTTGTCTGTTGTGAGGAAAGACATTGAGAAGAGGCGTTCAGAGGAGAAAAGGAAGTTGAAGGAGAAAAGGAGAGTCGAGGAGGAGAAGAGGGCTGAGGAGGAGAAGAGGGCTGAGGAGGAGAAGAGGGTCGAGGAAGAAGAAAGATTGGCTAAGCAAGCAAGCAAGGTGGACAAGAGGGTGAGGAAATCCAATGCTAAAGGGAAGGGTAAGAGGCCTGCTGCAGATGTGGAGGAACCAACCAAGAAAAAGGTGAAAGTTTCCCCTCCTGATCCACCTTGTCGTTCTGCCAGAGACAAAGCACCTCCAAAGAAGTACAATGTCTGAAATATTTGATATATCATTCCATACATCTTGTATCACAATGGCTTAGAGTTGATTCAATGTTTTGTATATCTGTGCTTGAGACTTAAAGAAATATTCAATATGGCACTGGCCATACATGTTTGAATATAGGTCATTACTCATGCAGCTGGCCCATTTGCACAGACTGCACAACCAGGCCGGCCCTCATTGGTATGGGTCACTATAGGTGCGGCCAGCCCCCTTTTCACACTGTAGAAGCAGGCCAGCCCACAGGAGTATAGGCCATTACCAATGCAGCTGGCCCATTTGCACAGACTGCACAACCAGGCCGGCTCTCATTGGTATGGGTCACTATAGGTGCGACCAGCCCCCTTTTCACATTGTAGAAGCAGGCCAGCCCACAGGAGTATTGGTCATAACCTATGGAACTGGCCCATTTGCACAGAACGAAATACAGGGCTGGCCGGTATTGACCTTTGGGGCAGCTGTTCCCCTTCACATATGCCAGGGGCAGACTGCCAGAATGTTGGGTTCTTCACAATTCGCTGTACACTATCAATGGCTATAACTTGATGTAGATTATGCATGACCTGGCCTTCATAGTGTACAGTGAATTTTGAATAGCCCAAGATTGATGCCCTAGCCACTGTATATATTTTAGAATATTCACAGATTCACCATCACAGTGATATGCAGGGTGAGGATGGCTCATCACCTCTACATGCATGTGTTACAGTTTTGTGGGTCACAACTGTACTACTAGTGTATTGCACAGATTTTGTAGGTTTTATATTATTTTTTTCATTAGCCTTTATCATCAGTATTCAAGTTGGATCAAAGGTAATAACCTCATCCCAATCCTTTAATCCAACTTGAATACTGATGATGTTTGGATAGTTTAGTTACTGATCCAAAATTGTTTACACTGCACTGTATTTTAGATATTACCATTTTTTTATACTGGAGGATGGAGGTCTTCAAGTGCCTTCAAAACCATACTAATCCAAGAGCTACCATTAGCCCCTACAGTGTTTGGCCTATCTGTCATTTATACTAGAGACACTGGCCTGTCCAGGTACTGCAGGTATGTAGAGACACCGGCCTGTCCAGGTCCTGCAGATACATCATGTATACTAGAGACACCGGCCTGTCCAGGTACTACAGGTATGTAGAGACACTGGCCTGTCCAGGTCCTGCAGATACATCATGTATACTAGAAACACCGGCCTGTCCAGGTACTGCAGGTATGTAGAGACACCGGCCTGTCCAGGTCCTGCAGATACATCATGTATACTAGAAACACCGGCCTGTCCAGGTACTACAGGTATGTAGAGACACTGGCCTGTCCAGGTCCTGCAGATATATCATTTTTACTAGAGTCATTGGCCTGTCCATATTTCACATAGTCGGCCGATCCTGGATATACGTACACCGGCCGGTGTCTGGTAGGCCAGGTTTTGCAGGCCAATGTACACATCCTATGACAGGGTTTTACAGTGTCATATGACTGAAAGGTGTGCAGCACCAAGCTAACATAGCAAAGAGTAAACACACCATTTACGACACCCACAGAATCCTCAGACATGTCTCTCAAGGTGCAGTGAGGCACACCATAGAGAAGGGGTTAGTTGAGGGCATTGCCCTTGATACAGCGTCCTCTGACGAATTCTGTGACACATTGTAGAGACTCATGCCTCTCATGGTGTGATATGGCACTTTACACTAGGGAGTACATAGCACAAACTTGCAGCATCACTCTGTGTGCTATCCGCAGGTATTCCACTATGAGGTGCAGCTTTCCCGCGCAATGCGCGCCATGCGCACATGCATTCCCGCGCTTCACGATGTATATGCGCGCGTGCATTCCTGCGCTTGAGCGCCCTATAGCGCCAGCCATCCAGAAGCATCCATCCACTGTCCACCAAGCCCTCTAGTGCGTATATTTCTATTTCTCTTGTTGCATATTGTTCCACCTTTATTTTTATCATGAATTCTCACTCATATATATCTTTACATACCTACTTGGTAGCACTTCGGCTCCGCATTACAGCGCTTAGGCGCGCTATATAAGCGCCAGCAGTACATAGTGAAACTTACTTTTCCAACCTACTTTTTACCTTACTGAACTTTCCACTTTACTATACTTTCCACCCACTATCTACTTAGCAGAACATAGTAGAACTCTATTCCTTTACATCTCGCACTCTGACATCTCTTGCATCATATTATCACTCAAGTCTAGTCTATCTATCATTTCCGCACACGCGCGCGTGTTCCCACGCCTTGCGCGCACCTGCGCTTTCTCGCAGCCTCACTTCAGCGTGTACCTCTAGATCTTCACTGCACTCGCTTCCCCTTTAGGGTCAAATGCACTTGTCTCCTCAAGTAACGCAGACTAGGCAACGCGTGACCTTACAACTTTTACAGATACAGTCAGGAGCATCATTTGTTCCTCTCAGTATCGTTGTTTATACAGTGTGCATCAAGGCCAAATCTACCCGTAAACTGTTTCCACAAGAGTCAGCAAGGCACGCGAAGGCATACGGTGAAGTCGTCCATACCGACCTGTGGGGACCAGCTCAAACTCAGAGCCTTGCAGGATCAAGCTACTATATGAGCTTTACCGATGATTACTCCTGCGAGACCCAAGTGATGTTCTTGAAGCGCAAGAGTGACATGTTAGATGCATTCAAGCACTACAAGGCAAGACTTACCACACAGCATGATGGGCATTGCATCAAAACCCTTTGCTCTGATCGAGGAGGGGAATACTTGAGTGCCAAATTTGACGCCTACTTGAAGGAGCATGGCATTACCCAGGAGATGACGGTCCATGATTCCCCACAGCAGAATGGTGTGGTGGAACACCTAAACCACACGCTCGTTGAGCATGCATGAGATGCCCCGAAGTACCTATGGGCAGAGGCCATCAGTTATGCTGTCTGGCTGAAGAATAGATTGCCTTCCAGGTCTATACCCGGACACACACCTTATGACCTCATCCATCGTAAATGCCCCGACCTGTTGCTCACATGCAAGTTTGGGAGTGAGGTCCTTGTCCATGTGGAAGATGCTGGGAAGCTTGAGGTGAAGGCTGTGAAGGCCTTGTTCGTGGGGGTAGACAGCCAGAGTAAGGGTTGTCGAGTCTATTGGGAGGGTAAGAGGCATGTTTCTGTCGAGTGTAACGTGACATATGTACCTCAGATGGTTGATGTCGCTGATGCTGTCCCAGTCGAGGGGGAGTCCACCTCCAATCCTGTCGTCATAAAGGTCACCCAGGAAGCATCAATCAATCACTCACCTCCCAGAAACCACATACCGGCACCCACCACCCCTCCAAGAAGCCACAACCCGGCACCAGAACCTCCTGTAGCTCCACGGTCCACAAGGGTATGCCCACCGCCAGGTTACTACTCCGCCCTAAATGAGGGGGAGCACGCTAACCTAGCAGCCGAAATACAAAAGCTGGAAGCGGAAGAGTCAGTACCAGCAGAGGAAGACTACGTGACTCACCAGTATGCTATGGCTGCACTGCAGCCAGAGCCCTCATTGCAGCAGGCACTGAACGGTCAAGACGGTGCAGAATGGCAAGAGGCTATTGATTATGAAATCAGCCAACTGGAGAAACTCGGCACTTGGGAAGTTACCGACCTGCCATGTGATGCAAATGTCATCCCATGTCACTATGTCCTCACCACCAAACAGGGCCCGGACAGTGAAAAGCTTAAACTCTGGGCGCGCCTCGTTGCAAATGGGCAACACCAAAAGTATGGCATTGACTACTTTGAGACATTTGCACCCACCTGCAACATGGCCACCATCAGAACCATCCTCAGAATGGCCGCAAAGCATGACTGGGAAATCCACCAAGTGGATATCAAAAGTGCATACTTATATGCAGACATCCAGGAAGAGATTTACATGAGGGCACCACCAGGCTACTTGAGAAGAGGGCAGGAAGGAAAGGTTCTGAAGTTGAGGAGAAGTCTGCCAGGGTTGAAGCAAGCAGGGTTTGAGTGGGTGGAAGAGCTGGCCGGTGTTTTCTCAAAAATTGGATTCAGTCGCTTGCAAGTTGACCAGGCTGTTTACTTTAAGCGCACCCTGCAGGAACACACGGTCATCACCGTTTCAGTCAACAATATGGCAGTAACCTCCTCCCATACCTCCCACATCCAGCGCTTCAAATCCCAGCTTCGCGAGTTCTTTGAGATCACAGATCTCGGAGAATTGAACTGGCTCTTAGGCTTGAAAGTCACTCGTGACCGAACAGCGCAGACCATTTCCCTCTCACAAAAGGCTTATATTGACACTATCATAGAGCGCTTCTACCTCACTGACATGAAATCCGCGCAGATGCCTATGGAGCCTGGGATGGCACTGTCCTTGGAGCAATGCCCTTCTACGCACAGTGAGCTACAAGCCATGTGCGACGTGCCTTACCAGTGAGCTATCGGCTCAATCATGTATGCTGCCACGAGCACATGCCCAGACATCTCCTTCACTGTTGCCACCCTCTCGCAATTCATGCGAAACCCTGGAAAGCCTCATTAGGAGGCTGCTAAGCACATCATGCGCTACCTAAAAGCCACAGCCCACTTTGAACTCACCCTTGGCTCCACAGAGGCCAGCCTCCAGGTGTTCGTAGATGTGGACTGGGCATCCCAGCCCCATCGGCATTTGATATCAGGATATGTCATAATGTTGAATGGTGGCCCCGTTGCTTGGAGTGCATGTAAGCAGCTGTTGATAGCTTTATCTACTGCCGAGGCAGAGTATATTGCGCTAACTACTGTTGCCAGAGAGCTGCTGATGCTTTCACTAAGCCCCTCTCACATCCTCAGCCTTCAAAAGCTCCAAGTCTTGATGAGCTTGGAATGCGCTCGAGGGGGAGTATTGGAGTCCAAGCGATCTGATGATTCATTGGCCGAGGGATCCGAGATAGGAAGAATGAGGAAGTAGGTTCGTACAAGCGCATCCTGGATGAGTCAATGAGTGACGTTTGATGTCAGCTCGTGCACTAC